TTTCCAAGGCCTCAGATCTTCATGAGAGGAGCTAGAAGCCTCATCTTTCTCACTCAGTGACTAGTGGAGTCAAACTGCTGACCCTGTGGTTAGTAGTCCAATGCCTAACTGACTATGCCACCACGACTCCTACAAATACATACATACACAAATTTCATGTACACATTTCCAAAATACTATATATAGATGATGATATAGATGCAAAGAAAGAATTGCTTTCTAGACCATCCTGTGACTTGTTTGATACACCTCTGTTTGCTAGTTTTTCATTCAAGGATTGAATGCCTTAAATAACACCTGTTAGTACAAAGGGTTTGATTATGGTTTGGGTTTTTTTGTTTGTTTTGATTGTAGTAACTAGCTACAGATGGTGTGAAACATCTTTCCTTTCCTTGGTCACTATCTTCTTCATGACTTAGGATTGTCATCATCATTGCATTAGCTGCAGCTCATTCTCTAATAATAAAAACTTTAGATTTATGTGATTATAAAAAATCATTTTATTGGGGGCTCTTACAGCTGTTATCACAGTCCATACATACATCCATTGTGTCACACATCTGTACATACGTTGCCAACATTTTCTTTCTACTTGAGCCCTTGGTATCTACTTGTTTTTCCCCTTTCCCCACCCTCCCTCTCATGAACCCTTGATAATTTTTTTTTTTCATGTCTTAAACTGACAGCAGTCTCCCTTCACCCACTTTTTTGTTGTCTGTCTCCCGGGAATGAGGTTATACATAGATCATTGTGTTCGGTATTCCCCATCTCCCCCCCACCTTACCCTTCCTCTCCCGGTTTCAGTACTCTCATTATTGGTCCTGAGGGGTTTATCTGTCCTGGATTCCCTGTGTTTCAAGCTCTTATCTGTACCAGTATACATGCTTTGGTCTAGCAGATTTGTAAAGTAGAATTGGGGTCATGATAGTGGGAGGGAGACAGCATTAAGGAACTAGAGGAAAGTTGTATGTTTCATCTGTGCTTACTGCACCCTGACTGGCTTCTCTCTTGTGACCCTTATGTGAGGGGATGTCCAATTATCTACAAATGGGCTTTTGGTCTCCACTCTACCCTCCCCCTCATTCACGTCGATAAAATGTTTTGTTCTGGGTCTTTGATGACTGATATCTGATCCAATGGACACCTCATGATCACACAGGGTTTGAAGGTAAATAAGCAGCCATCTAGCTGAGAAAGCAACAAAGCCCACATGGAAGAAGCACACCAGCCTGTGATGCTTGTTTTATTGTGGCACCGTCTTAACAGTTTTATACATGAGCGGGCTTCAAAGAGCTGGAAAGAAAATAGACTTGAAAGATAGAAACATTTTAATAAACTTTTTAGAGATTTGTGAGTATATTCTCACTGCAGCCCTGTGTCTGAGATACTATTGTTTTTATCCTTATTTTGCAAATGAGGAATTGAAAGTTTAAGTGACTATAAATGCAATCCATAGGAATAACCAATTAGGTTAAAACCATCCAAGGGGAATTTTTTGAAACCTTCTGCCTTGATTTGAAAGGACTGCCCATTTTTTCTATATCTCTTTTATCAATAACTCCTTTAGGAACTTGAAAGTGCCTAGATCTACGTTTTATTCTGTTTTAAAATAGCCTTGAAATAGCTCTCAGGTTAGTATTACAGCAAGTGGAATGGTGGAAGCGGTCAGATTCCATCCATGTGCGGCTTAATCAGATGGAGGAAACCACACCTTCACCCCTTCATTTCTCTTGGTATTCCTTTGCCCCACCCACTGTCCTTTTGAGGCATGTGGACTGAGTTCAGTCACTAACATATTTCAGGCATTGTGTTTTTAGATCTTTTGGAAAGGGTACACGATGAAGTCTGCTGTAGGGAAGGCATAGGATCTCTGACATAGCACCTCAGTTGGTTTTTCACAAGAGAAAATATTCAAATTGATAAGGATTTTTGTCTTGCTTAGATCCATAATCAGTACTCTTGACACATTGCATTGGATAAATCTGCACGAAACTTCTTGAAAATGTTGAAAAGCAAGGGTTTTTCTTTGAGAACGAGGTGCGCCTGACACAAACCATGGTGTTTTCAGTCGTCTGATATGTACGTCAAGGTGGGACATTGAATAAGGAAGACCAAAGAAGAATGGATGTGTTTGAATTGTGGGGCTGGCGAAGAATATTGAAAATATCACGAACTGCTAAAAGGACAAATAACTCTATCTTGCAAGAGGTACAGCCAGAAGTGCTCCTTAGAGGCAAGGGTGGTGAGACTAACATACTTTGGCGTGTCAGGAGAGGCCAGTCCCTGGAGAAGACCATCACGCTAGATAGAGGAGAGTAGGAGCAAACAAGAGGAAGGCCCCCGGTGAGATGGATTGACACCGCGGCCGCTGCAACAATAGGCTCAAACATCAAAATAACCGGGAAGATGGTGCAGGACTGGCAGTGCTTTCGTTCTGTTGTGCTCAGGGTCACTGTCGATCGGAACTGACCCAGTGGCACCTGACAGCAACAGCAACATTAAAAATTGCTAATGATCCACAGGCTCATCTGTGGGGAAAAATCAAGTTACTTACCAAATAAAATTGAATATAGATATAGATATTTAACACACATATATTCACATAGACTTTTTTTTCTAATGAGCTAAAGGGCATATGTACCTGGTGAAAAACTGCATGACTTGCTGTCTCAGAAACCCCTCTCAGTGGCAGTGGGTTTGGTATTTTGGATTGGTACACGCATGGAAAGGTGTACAAAATCATTAAGGTCAAAAGAAAGCCAGTGAAATGTGACAGGTTGCATTTTTTTTAAACTTCGCCAACAACTGATACAATTATAGGGAACTTTTCTAGGTCACATATTTCTTTAACACATATATATTTGAATGCAGAAAGAACGAGTAAAGGTAGTTCACAGGGTGTACACGAGTCTCAGGAAAAAATAGATGCCGTTTATTACACCTTTACTGTGTACCAGGCACCGTGGGGTTTTGTTGTCCTCTCCTTTCCTTGTAGTGGTGTCTCTGACTCTTTCTTCCACTTGATTCTCTGCAGTATTTAGAAAAAGTAGATTGAAGGTATTGTCCTCAAGGACAGTTTTTCAGAATTCAGTTGCTATTATAAAGGGAATTATGTGTTATTCCTCTCGAACTTTAAGACACAGAAACATAGCTACGAGAGAAATATGTAGCATGCACGGAAGACCACTTCCTTTGTGGGTTAGAAAATATTGTGTGCTTAGATTGAAGTGGAGAGAATGAAATGGGATTGTGGGGGGAAGCTTCAGTGGAGTGGGAGGGGCGTGAGAGCTTTTCTGATGGAGAATGGATTGATCAGATTGGGAACCCTAGATGAGAGACATGATCAAAGTAAGATGGTCTACTTAGGGAAACAGCGACAGAAGGTTCTGAAGATTTTCCATCTGTGCTATAGTGGGACTCAAAAATAATGCAACGCCATCCTAATTAGTAAGAAAATAAATCAATCCTCCTGTCAGTGCTACAGATTGTACAGTAGTGCACAGATAGAACAAAGACAGTGTGCACGATCCTGGCGCAAGTCACCACACCCTTCTCCCCAAGTTACAGAAGACACCTGACAAGCCTCCATGGCAACACTGACAGCCCTGTCTTCAACGCAGCAGTCCGTATGTCGCTTTTAAGAAAAGGAGCCACGGGAGGGAGGGGGAAAATGAGGAGCTGATACCAAGGGCTCAATAGAAAGTAAATGCCTGGAAATTAATGAAGGCAACATGTGTACAAACAATGCCTGATGCAATCGATGTATGGATTATAACAAGAGTTGTAAGAGTCCCCAATAAAACAATCGTTTAATAAAAGTAAATAAATAATTAAAAAATAAATTGTTTTTTAAAAAGCATCCATTGTATAATGCTAACTGTAAACATATTAAATAAAGGTGCCTTTACTGCTTTTGTTTTTATGATTCACATGTAAATATGTACAGTAGCCACATCAAGATCTCTCTCCAATGATCCCCCATTTCAACCAGAGTACCCCACAAGGACCTGTATGAGCTCCCACTGCCTGCCTCCTTGATCAAAACTTCTACTCTTTCTGTCTTGCTCATTCCACTCCTTGCTGTTTCTTAAATCCACCACTCTGATTCACACCTTACAATCTTTGTGCCGACAATCCCTCTGCCTGGGATGCTCCTTTCTCCGGTGTCCACAGTCAACGTTTCTTCTATACGCCTACTGCATTGTCATCTTCTGCTACATTGCTTACAATCAGGAAGGATGTGTGTCAGGCTATATCCTCTCATACGTATGTGCTGAGCATATGCCTCTAGTGGATGGGCTTTGTGACAAAGACCACAGCATCAAGATTGAAGGAAGGTTTGTTGAGAGACTTGCTGATGAGAATCGAAGACTGCAGCCTTCAGTGTGGATTGCAGCTCAGTGTGAAGAAAACAAGTGCAGGGACTCCAGTTCCTAAAGACAGGCTTCGTTACTCGTGGTTGTAGATCCTCTACTCTCTGCTTTTACCTCTTGGAAGGTGAAATGTGTTGCAAGCCAGACCCCAGGGAAACTCTCCTTATATTGGATCAAGGGTATGACGAGATTAAGGGTGTTATATCCCAAACTTAATCTTCTCGTTGGTTTATACTTTTGATCACTTCATGAGGATGATTGCATAGCTGCCCGTTTACATAATCATGTAACTGCTAAACCACTGAGAATCATGGCCCATCCAAATTGGCACACATTTCAGGGAGCACAATTTAATCTATGACGGTCTCCAAATATAGTATGAACACCCTTGATAAGGTATTGAATCTAAACATTCAAATATTATCTCTGGTACAATATTTATTAGTTCCTACTGGTGAGAAGCCCACTTGAATGTGTCTCTTATGATGAGCCTCATTTCACATCGCTAAGTAGAAACTTGGCTTTCTTCTCATTCTCCGGAGTTGGACTTGTTCATCTGGCTAACTAAAGAATTTCATAAAACTTTTGTGCCTGTATGAACGGCCTGTTTTTCCTGGTTTCCTGTAGATGATGATTGGCAGGAAGCACATGAGCGCCTGGCCGAATTGGAAGAGAAGGTGCCGGTGGCAGTTCCTGAACAAACAGGCAACGGGGAAAGGGATGAGATGGACTTGCTGGGTGACCATGAGGAGAACCTGGCAGAAAGGCTGAGTAAAATGGTGATCGAAAATGAACTAGAAGACCCTGCTATCATGAGGGCTGTGCAGACCAGACCAGTTTTGCAAGTAAGTTGGATCTGACTTGACAATCACAGCGGTTGGCATTCATGTAGAGGGGTATTGAGCTTTGCCATTTTTGCCCTCTACTATAATGAAAGAAGGGCCCGTGGTGGGGTAGTGATTATGAGCTGGGATCATGAACAGCTGTGATCAGCAAGGTCAGCAGTTCAAACCCACCAGCTGCCCGGGGGAATGGATGGGGCTCTCTGCTCCTATAAGGAGTAGTAGTCTCAGAAACCCACAGGGACAGTTCTACTCTGTCCTGTAGGGTCCTATGCGTTGGCATCAACTCGATGGCAAGGAATTTGTAATGAAAGAATTACCTTTTGAAAGTAGATTGATAAGCCACTTCCCAGAGATAGCAGATACGAAGCTGAAACACCGTGTGTTGTAGAGCACCATTACTGTTTTATCCTCCAGCAGTGGAGGCTCTTTTGGATCCTCATGTTCCACAGCAGCAGCTTAGTCACTCAGGCGTTCCACACATCTAGACTTTATGTGTGTGTGTTTGTTTTTCTTTTATTAGCCCCAACCAGGAAGTCTCAATTCCAGCATCTGGGATGGATCTGAAGTTCTGAGGCGAATTCGAGGACCACTGCTTGCTCAGGTATTAAACATTTCCTCTTTCTCTAACATTCCTAACATGCGCACGTTTCGTGCTAGCTCCTCAGATCACGGTTTTCTCCGTGAAAGAATGGCTAAGTGTACATCAGTTGCCAATAGTTTCTTGACTGCTGCATCTAGCACCAAACAGCTGTACCTGTTGATGTCCCTGCCTCACCTTCCTCGGCAGTGCTCATTTGCTCTATTGTGAGAAGGTGAATCAGGAGCCAATGAAACTAAAATTCGTCAGTTTGCAGTTTAAATTACTTGAAAAGTCATTTCCAGGCAAAACTACAGGGACAAAGAATTGAGGGGTGGCTGGCTGGCAGGGGTAGGAGGGCTTGACTACAAGGGAATTTGAGGGAGGAATGAATCTATTCTAAACTTTGATTAAAGTGGCTGATCACAGATGTGTGTATCAAAATATAGAGAGCTATACACTACTAGAGAGAGTGCCTTTTACTACACGTACATTTAAAAGTAAAACTTAAAACGTGTAAGATATTTGGGCATCTGAAGAGATTGCTAAAATATTTCCAATTTGCTAATTTCTGTTTTCTGAGGGGTTTTGTTTTAACCACTTCTTTCATTAGGAAATGCCTACCGTGTCTGTACTAGAATATGCCTTGCCCCAAAGGCCCCCACAAGGCCCAGAAGATGATCGGGATCTTTCTGAGCGTGCATTACCCAGGAGGTCCACTTCCCCGATCATTGGGAGCCCCCCCGTGAGAGCTGTTCCCATAGGCACCCCACCTAAGCAGATGGCAGTGCCCAGCTTCAACCAGCAGGTACCTCTCATTAACAGGCACTCAGCCCAGGCTATTGGGAATCTGGGCCCAATCGTTTGGGAAATGTGTGATGCTGGGCGGGAAGAGGGTTGGCAGTGTTGGGTAGGCATTAGATTAGAAAGAAAACTAGCCAATTAGAGAAGACACTAGTGCAAATCAGAGACACATTCCCTAGCACCCTTTCTTGCTGCTGCTGTTGCCTTTTAATTGGGGGAGAAGAAGAACCGCTCACCACGCTGAGCATGGATGTCCTGTGTAAAGTGTCTTGGAGGCTGCCCAAAACATGCAGAGAGAACTGAAAGCTGGTGGGAGTGGGAGCACACGGCATGGTCCACATCCCTTTTTACCTTTAAGATATCCCTGCTTTCCCTAGAGCCTGTGCAGTCCTGTTCCATAGACTTCCCTCCACCTGAAACCAGCAGCTGAAAAGGAAGGCCAATTTGGAAGGTATGGGGGGAGGGTGGTGTTGGTATGGCCTAGTTAGGCTCGCTGTCCGGTGGAGTCACAGTGTGGATCAGGAAAGTGCTGAGCACGGTGGCCATATCACAGGCTCCTCAGAAAAGGACTTAGTTAATCCTCCAGCTTTCTTATTCCTTCCCCCTCGCTGCTACCAAAACTGATCCTCTTGGAGAGAATTTGCAAGTCAGAATATCTGCTGGCACTTCCCTCAGATAGCATGGAAGGGTGGGGTAACTGGAGAATTAGCTAACCCTTCCTCTGTGAGAACTGGCACTTGGCATGACTCTGGAGAGAGGAAGTGACCCATAGCCGCAACAGTTTGTTTAGCTGCAGGGTTTGGCACTGAGCTCTGTGGCTCTGCCAGTACTTGAGGGGAGGGAGTGTAGGTGGAGGAAAAGCTGACTTAATTGAATGTAGTTGTGTATATGCTTGTCCTGATAGATCCTGTGTCCGAAGCCAGTCCATGTCCGGCCTCCAGTGCCATCACGTTACCCTGCTCCCTATGGTGAGAGAATGTCTCCAAACCAGCTCTGCGGTGTCCCGGTACGTCATTGTGCCGCCTGTGTGGACACTACCAGTATGTGTTACTCTTATTGGTTGCTGTCCAGTCGATGTGACTCATGGAGACCCACCCTGTGTGTGACCGAGTTGACTATTCCATAGAGTTTTTTCTTGGTTTCAGTTATAGCAGAAGCAGGTCGCCAGGCCTTTCTTTCATGTTACCACTAGAAGGGCTCGAATTGCTGTGCTGCCTTTTAGGTTAGCCATCCAAGAAAAACTGTTGACGGCATCCAAAGAGGGGCCTTCGTCAGTATATTCCATCTTCCTGGTTGGGAGCCTTTTTTATCCTCATACTTGGCTATCTGGATCTGATAATCCCCAAGCCCAGAATTTGTGACCCATCATGATCAGTCAACTTACACCTCATGTCCTTCTCATCTGCGAAATAGGAATCCTTGGTGTGACTCTCTGGCCTCCTGCTACTTCAATGTCCGCACCCCTCATTCTCCTACTTTTTTGTGCCATGAGATCGGAGTACTTTATACCTTCTAGCACTGTCGATTCTGTATATTCCCTCAGTGGAAAGCTTGTTGGTACAGCATCGACTCCCAGACTTTTTGGTGTGGGGGGCGTGGGGGGACAGTGCCCACCAGGCCATTGAAAACTTTGGTACTATAGCTCGTCATTCAGGATAAAGGGTAGGTATTTGCTTTTGCAACTCCCTTGAGTGATCCAGTGCCCCCCAGGGAGTGAGTGACAGCGCCCAGTTTGGGAAATGTTGCGCTATTATTTGCAAGATTTTGCCTGTGTTGTAACTGAGTGCCCTTACTAGATTGATGTATGTGCCTATTTCATAGTATGAATATAACTTTTCTTTCTTTTTTCCTTAGAACTCTTCCCTCTTAGGTCACCCTTTCCCTCCTAGTGTACCTCCAGTTCTGAGCCCTCTCCAGAGAGCACAGCTTCTCGGAGGAGCTCAGGTAAGCCTAGGAAACATCCCCCCCTCCCTCCCGCCCGCCCAAGAGCTCCTAGGTTCTCAGAGGCTCACTAAAGAGTGCTGCTGTTGTGGGCTGCCCTGTATTGACTGCACAGAGCTGCCCTATAGGCCTTTGTAGGTTGTCTTTGTGAAAACAGACTGCCAAGGCCTTTCTGTCACCTGGAGGGTTCGAACGGCTGACCTTCTGGTTAACAACCACGAGCTTGACTTACACCACTGGGGCTCCATCCATTAGATGATAATAGCCATCTCTATTCTTTCATTACTGCCTCTGTTTTCTTTTTTAAACTTATTGATGGAAAAAGTATTCACATTTGATGAAAAGCAAAGGAACTTGCTCCATAGGGTTTTCCCGGCTCTAATTTTTACAGAAGCCCACCACTCAGCCTTTCTACCATGGGTGTGTGTGTGTGTGTGTGTGTGTGTGTGTGTGTGTGTGTGTAAGGGGCGGTGGACAGGTTGTCAAACTTTAGATGCAGAGCCATGCATGAACTGAACCCAAGGTCTTGTTCTTCTTTGTAGCTACAGCCTGGACGGATGTCTCCCAGCCAGTTTGCACGGGTCCCGGGATTTGTCAGTAGCCCACTAGCTGCCGTGAATTCCAAGTTGCTGCAAGGGCGAGTTGGGCAGATGCTTCCCCCAGCACCAGGCTTTCGTGCCTTCTTCAGTGCTCCCCGCCCCGCTACCCCACCTCCACTACCGCAGCACCCTCCTGGCCCAGGACCTCACCTGCAAAACCTCAGGTATCCCAAACGTAGCCTTCTGTTTCATCCGTTGTCAGCCAGGTGTCTTGATCAGTAATACAGTACAGAAGTGGCTCTTGCAGAGCAATGTGTTCTGAGATTGGAGTGGATCAGATTAGATGATCCTCAAATCGCAAAGCACGGAAATGTTTTACCAGTTCCAGCCTCTCTCATGAGTCACACATTCCTCAAGAACCACACATGTCTCCTGTACACAGTCTCACTACAAGTTTAATCCACGCTTGTAATATTTATCCTAAACTTTGTTGCGTCTCGCTTCATTCCCTTTTTACAAAGACACACTGACAGAACACACAGTGCCTGCCGCTTGATAAGAATTTCCACATTCTCCAGAAACAGATCGAGCTGCTGAGAAGTCCGCTCTGCTGGTGGCAACACAAGCTAATTTATTCCACCCTCTTGTTTTACAAGAAGAGTTCAAGTTCCTGCTTCAGCAAAATCACATTTTATTACATATTCTGCATACTGTGTCTTTCCCAAATAGTTGAAACTGAGCCTCTTCAGTCTACTGAAAGACGTCTGCTACTGGAGCGGCTGGTTTGCTTGAATTTTATGACCGTTCTCTTGGGAATGGAGATGTGGGCCTTGTGCAAGATAGGTCAGAGAGTGGCATCTTCTTCTTTAGAGCCGATATCCTTAGACTAGACAGGAGTGTTTCCCTGAGTAAACCTGGGTGGAATTGTGCTGTGTTGCTGGGTCCTTTGAAACATCAAATCTTAAGCCTCCTCACACAGTTGAAACTCTTGAACCTATTTTCTTAGATCTCAGGCCCCAATGTTTCGACCAGACACGACTCACCTTCACCCCCAGCACCGCCGGCTCTTGCATCAAAGACAGCAACAGAACAGAAAGTGAGTACCCAGCCCACTCCTGTGTCTTCCTAACGCACACAGCTTTTGATTTTGACAGCATTATAGGGTGCGCTGCATCACATTTCACCGTTTTCATCCATCTAATTCGTTTTGAGATAACTTTGCTGGGAAAATCAAATTACAAAAGCTACAATTTCATGTTTTTAATGCCCTAGCTTTTAAATAAGAAGATACTATGAACTGTTCTTCAAATTGTTATGACTGTGGTGATCATAAATCGCAATGAAAGTTTAGGTCTGATTTTTAATGTCTTAATGAACATGTGTACTCACCCTGCACCAAGTTCTCACTGTATTTGTGCTCTTGCTGCCTTTTGCTCGCCATCCTTGCTCAGAGGTGATCCTGAAATAGAGTGGCTAGCCTTGCCTTTGGGTGTTAATGTGAAGCCAATGGCCATTCTGTGTTTCTTCTTCGAGTGAATGAATGCGTATTGGCTGGATGCGGATTCAGCCATGATGGACAGAAATGAGGACTATGTGTGTGCCAGGCACTATGACAGGTTTTAGAGATAAAAAGAACAAATTAGGTAAAGCCACTCCTTTCTTGAATCTTAGATGCCACAAAACCCCATCTATAAAAAATAAAGAAAGTAACCATGACTGAGAGAAATCTCTTGATCCTCTCAATTTTCTGGTTCTGTGCAGTGTGCATAATTCCTTCACCATGTCAGAAGCATTCTAGGATATTTTTCAGAAGACAAAAATCCAGTCTGAGCTCTTAAGACTCAGAAAGTACAAACCGTAAAGGGAAAGATGAATATGTCTCTATTATCTGCATACACTAATAGGCAGTTCTCGCGTGGCTCATAAGCAAGAAAAGCTCCAGCTCTCTCTTAATCAAGAAATTGTGATTAAAATGAGGTAGCCATTTTCTATCATCAGCTAGGCACAATTTGAAATGCCTCACTTGTGCTAGGGTGGAATGGATATACAGCCTCTTGAGGGGAAAAAAGGTGGCAAGAATGAGGTTGGGAATGTAGACTCACTGCATCCTAGCATTGGGCATGTGATCCGGGTGGGTGAAATCAAAAACAATGTTGAGTACCAAAGCAAGAAGCATGATACAGGGAGCTTCAACATGTCCATGGGAAAAATTTAAATTCTTTGTCCACTATTATTTCTGGATAGCTGAAAGGCAAAGTAGCATAATATGATGATTTTTAAGTGTGTAGTATTTAAAGATGTGCACAGGAGCCATCGGGTGTAAAACATTGCCTGAGGTCAGGGAAAGAGAGGGTGATGGTGCCTCACAGAAGGAAGAGACTCAATACTGGGACTCAGGGCCAGAAGAGGGACTGCTGATAGGGACACTGTGTCACTTGAATAGCCCCCCCCCCCTTTTTTTTTTAAGCTGACGCAAATTTGGCCATAAAAAAGGTTTTATCATAAAATCCAGATGCTAGGTTAGTGGATGTTTGCTATAGTGTTTGCTGAATTATAATTTTGTAGATTATAAATCTCAGTAAAAATTGAGACATCTCTGAATTCAGAAAATAGATTTTGAGATCTTATTGAAATATTTCATAATTTTAGAGGTTTTTTTTTTTTTTAAGTATGTAGACTTTAGATTCAAATTGACATATGTATGTTCAGATATCTTTTATTGTGCCACAGGGTGTATGGACAGCTTTGGACAAGTTACTTGATCTCTCGTGGTCTCAGTGGTTAGTTTAAGTGGAGAAAATTAAATGGCTTATTTTGGAGGGCTTACACAAAATGTCCATGGGTGAAAATACTAAGCACCTGGTAGGCTCTCTGATCATGGTATTTATTTTAATTATGTATTGTGTAGCTCTGTCCTCTTAAGTTCTATTAAAACACAATTATTTTTACGCCCTTTTAGCAAAAAGGAGCCCTGGTAGTGTGGCTTCTCTTTGAGCTACTAACTACAAAGTCAACGGTTTGAAACCACCCTTTCCTTGAAGGGAAAAAATGAGGCTTTTTACGCCTGTTAAGATTTACCGTCTCAGAAGCCCATGAGGCAGTTCTGTGCACTACAATGTTGCTTGAGTTTGGGGTCGGTGGTTTTAAGAATTATCTTGTTGTTATATGCTACCCTGAATGCAACCACTTGGAGTGAATGCGGCATTTGTTTGCTTTCAGTCAGCATCGGAATCTCAATGGTGCAGGAGATAGAGGAAGTCATCGAAACAGTCATCAAGATCATCTTCGAAAGGATCCGTATGCGAATCTCATGCTGCAGCGAGAAAAGGACTGGGTCTCCAAAATCCAGATGATGCAACTGCAAAGCACTGATCCTTATCTGGATGACTTCTACTACCAGGTAAGCACTGTATCCCTACCCGGATGATTTCCACTACCAGCTAACTGCTGTGTGCTGCTTCTGGACATAGGAGTGTGTGTTAGCCATCAGAGATATGCAAGTCAAACCCACCATTCCACTCCCACACACGTGTACAGCAAAAGCTGGTGAAGATGTGGGGAAATTTGAATTGTTACCTGTTACCACTGGTGGGAGTGCAAAAGTGGTACAGCCCTGCTGGAAAACAATGTGGCAGGTCCTCGGAAAACTAAACATAGAACTCATTTGGCCCAGCATTTCTCCTCACTCTCTACCCAGCAGGATTTGCAATCAGAGACTCAAAAGGAGACTTGTATGCGAGTATAGTGCTATTCAGAGCAGGCCAGAGATAGAAATAACCTGTGTGCCTCTGAGGCATGTACATGAACACACACAGTGCGGTACATCCACCTCATGGAAAGCTGCGCTGCCAGTAGGAGAGGCGGCTTCTTGCTGCATGCTGTATTCTGTGTGGAGCTTGAAGCCATCAGGCGGAGCCAAGTAAGCCAAGCACAAAAGGACAAAGTGGTGACCTCACTTAAAAAGACAAGAAAAGGCAAATGTATAGCTTACCAGGAGCAGGAGGAAGAGAAGAAAAGGAGCCAACGGTGATGGTAAAGTTGCCTTAATTAAGGGTAAAGGTGAATAGTCTATTTATTATAGCTACTGACAATAAGTCGTACACCTACAGAAAGTGTAATTGGGCACAGTTGTGTGATAGACATTTACATCCATGACACCCTCCCACCCCCCCAAGAAAAAGAAAAGAGTAGATGCTGAGCCTGTTTACAGCACCTCGGGGATTTGGTTGCTTGGCTTAGAGGTTTAGGGTCATGATTTCATGTTGCTGCTGCTGTTAGGTACCATGCAGTCAGGATGAGGGTGATCACAGAACTGGAAGAATGCGATCAAGTGTCGGACCTGTTGAACTGGTGTCGGTTTTAATGTGTGAGTTTTCAGCAAACCGATTAAGCAAATTTTATCCTCAAGCTAGTGGTCTCTCTTGTTCAGTGACTAGTTTGCTTAAATAAGGTGGCTTTAGAAATTTTATGAAAAATTGCCATTATCTTTTAATTCCATTTGTCTATGAACTTTTTGAAGCCCAGCCCCCACCCTCACCCAACCCGCCCGCCATATGCATTCTACTTCTTTCACATAGAGGCTCTCAGATTGGCATCATCAAACCGTTTGGCATCAGTTGAGGAGTTCGAAACCACCAGCCAGCTCCGAAGGAAAAAGAAGGCTTTCTACTCCTCTAAAAATTTAGAGTCTCAGGAACTCAGGGCAGTTCTACCCTGCCCTATAGGGTCACTATGAGTTGGCATCGACTCAGTGGCAGTGAGTTTGGTGTTTTGGCTTTGGGCATCAATAATCTGCTTCCTTCTGTTGGCAGTTACAGACATCACCACTGGTGACTAACTTGTTTAAAAACTGGAATTTGTTGATAAAGTGAGTTGATGGCAACCTAGCAAATTAAGAGTTCAGAACATGTCGTGGAGTTGAAGTCATGTTATTGCTGCGAGTGTAGATCAATTATTTAATGGTGATACGCAGCCCTGTTGTGTGCTTGTGTTGCAACTCAAATCTTCTTGTGTGGCAGAATTACTTTGAGAAACTGGAGAAACTATCAGCTGCTGAAGAAATGCAAGGTGAGGGCCCTAAGAAGGAACGCACCAAGCTCATCACCCCTCAGGTGGCCAAACTGGAGCACGCCTATAAGCCAGGTAAGGTCCTTGTGTCTGTGCCCGTGATAGGAGACACTGGAGGTGCACTGCGGATGTGCTGAAATATAAGTAATGTATACAGGGCAGCGCTGGTTATGACTAAGAAATGGTCATGAGTGTGTCTCTGATTCCAGTGTGTAGGTGAGTAAGAACAGGTGCCTGGGGGTCTTATTTAGTCAACAGTTGTGTAAGAATCTATGCTGTCAAAGTTCCCCGTGATGCAGCAGATGAAGGTGATGGTGATGGTGAATTTATTAAGAGGGGAGTTTGGTTCAGTCCAAGTGAAGGCAGTTTTACCTAACATTAAAGGGCAAGTAGGAGTTGCCTGTCAGTCAGATAGATGGACACAAGAGATGTCTTAAACCTTTTCTCATGCATAGCCTCAGTGCTTTGCAGATAACATTTTCTACTTTTGGTTCCATGATTTTTTAAACCTGTGAAAATGTCTAGTATCCCTAAATCAGTGGTTCTCAACCTTCCTAATGCCATGACTCTTTCATACACTTCCTCATGTGGTGGTGACTCCCCAACCATAACATTATTTTCGTTGCTACTTCACTGTCATTTTGCTACTGTGATGAATTAGGCGATCCCCTGTGAAAAGGTCATTCGATACCCCCCTCAAAGGGGTCGCGATCCACAGGTTGAGAACCACTGCCCTAAGTATGGTAGATGGGGGGGGCAGGATAAGTTTTAATAAGAGATTACATTGGGTAATACCTAGCTCTCTTATGGAGAATTGTTAAAGACTGAGTAGTGAAGGTAAAGATCTTTGAAAGCTGCTGGCTGCTTTGTTAAGTGTTTGTTCTGTTGAACTTCTCTGTCCTTGTAGTGCAGTTTGAAGGCTCTCTGGGAAAGCTCACTGTCTCGAGTGTGAATAATCCCCGCAAAATGATCGATGCTGTTGTAACGTCTCGGAGTGAGGATGATGTAAGTCTTGGCAGAATTGGGCACTTGAAAGAGGATGGTCATTTGTGGGGTCCCTGTGGCATGGGGTGGGAAGAAGGAGCTGCTTCCTTGACCAGCACCACGTGGCTGCCATCCTGGCTTTGCACAGCCGGGTCTCCTTGGCAAGCAGTCATGGCCTGGGTGCAGCAGTGCTCTGTTTGGATAGCACCGCCTGCAGGCAGGCACATCTTCTTATGCCACGTTGCTGTTTAAAACAGTGGTCATTTCTGTGTTTAAGATTGTCCTGTGATAGCCTCCGCCTGTGCTGCATTCTATGATTACCTTTTGCTCATCTGTGAATCAGCTCCGACGTTTAGTGTGGGTAGGTTGGATCATCTTTAGAATCTTGGTCTACATTAGTGTTATTTACATCATGAACTCCAAGAGTCTATATTCTCAGAGTAACTGCAGAAGGGAGCCTGCAGGTACACACTGAGTAAGTTATTTTTAACTAGGAAAGAGTTTGCATTGACTAGTCTTAACTTTTTTTTCCTTTTCATTTTTTAAGGAGACAAAAGAAAAACAGGTTCGGGACAAAAGACGAAAAACTCTTTTCATAATCGAGAAAGTAAGTTGCTACCTTTAGTTTCCAACCCATAATTGTCAGGTGTCTGTATACACGAGTGAACAGCGAATTAGTGTTCTGTGAATTTTAGATCAATAGCTAGTTTCTTCCTCTATCCCTGTTGTGTCCAGAACACCCAGGAACGAGTGTGGTAAGAGCACTGCACTTAGAAATACGGAGGCTTTGTCCAGGCTGATTATGCCACGTGTCTGAGCCCAGTGTCTGAGCAGGTCAGTGCCCTGCGTATGGCAGAGCGAGACACTGCCCAGACCTGCACCGTGCTCACAGCTGCTGCTACGGTTGGGCCCTTTGTTGCAGCCACTAGGTCAGTCCATCTTGAGGGTCCTCCAGGTCCTCTGTGCTGGGCTGGGTCCTAAGTAACAGTTAGGTCACACATAAGCAGGTGGCTGGTAGAGGACGCAAAACCCATGTGTTGAGGCCCCAGAGCATGGCGGTTAAGGGCACAGCACACAACCGTTTCTGACCACACCTACCTGGGGCAAGTTATTTTACCTTTCTGTCTGATGCCCACTTTTTTCATGTATAAACAGAGTGACGGTGAAACCTTTCTCACTGGCCTGTGGTGCCTAGTCAGGGAATCCACGAGAAGTGTTTGGAACAGAGCCTGTCACCTACTAATACGATGAATTTATGATGATCCAGTTTTAGAAATAGGGAGGCATGCTTGTAGTGGCGTGATACATAATTGTCTGTTAAACAGGATGCTAACAATACATAAAAACACAGTGTTGTCGCTGCAGCATCCTCACTTTCCTCCTTACCACATCTTCTGGGTCAGAGGTGGAGGAGGATCGAGGGTGGTGGAGGAATTCCTGACATTCTCCTCCCGTGTTTCTGGATTGAATGAGCGCAGACTCCCCCACCCCGTCTCAGCCTTTACTCAAGGACTTTCCCCTTATCTGGTCCTCCTCAACTGCAAGCTGTTCTCCGTGATCCTGACCTCACCTGCCCTCGGCTTGCTTTGTGTTTCCCTCAGACGTACAGTTTACTCCTTGAGGTGGAGGACTACGAAAGGCGCTATCTCCTCAGTCTGGAAGCGGAGCGGCCGGCCCTGGTGGACGAAAGAAAGCATAACATCTGTAGCATGTATGACAACTTAAGGGGGAAACTGCCTGGACAAGAGAGGTAAGAACCGTGTACATTGAAGGAAACAGACCAAATTGAGTGTACACATTTCAGCCTTTGTATTTTGTTGTTGTTATTTGTTTGGGGGTGGGGGATGGGAGGGATTATTTTTAAATTAATAGATTATTCTTTTAGGTTTAGAAACAAAGTACAGAGAGCTCCCAGCACACAGTTTGCCATTTTAATAACAGCTTGCACTAGTGTGGCCCACGTGTTATAATTGATGAATCCGTGGTGATACTGTTAGCTAAATTGGATGGTTTCCATAGGGTTTATTCTTTCTTTCGTAATTTTTATTACATTTTGAGGAAAGTTGCAGAGCAAGTTGGTTTTCCTGTCCCCTGTTAATACACATTTTGCTTCATGACATTGGCTACAGCCCCCTCAATGTGACAGCACTCTTCCCACTTGCTCCCTGCTTTCTGTTGGTCTTTCCTCTCCGCCCCCCTCCCAACTTCTGAACTTGGCATTGGGGCAGGTGATGCCCTCCTGGTCTCCTGGTTAATTGTACAGTGTGTGTTACTTTAGGTAGGTAGTCCTTTCAATCGTTTTGGATACTACCCATCTGTATCATCTCTGTCAGCTCAAATGTATCCCTTCATCTCAACTCAAATGCCGCTTCATATAAAACTTTTCATAATCCTCCACAGATAGGAAATAAAAGTGTCTCTTGATTCTGGCTAGCTGTGCAAACCAAAGCCAAACTGACTGCCATGAAGTTGAAGCCGACTCGTAGTGACCCCGTATGTAGGACCGAGTAGAACTGTCCCTGTCACTTTCTAGGACTAACTTTTTATGGGAGTAGAAAGGCCCGACTTTGTCCTGAGGGGCCGCTGGTAGTTTCAAACAGCTGACCTTGCTGATAGCACTATGCCCCCAGGGCTCCTGGTTAGCCCTCCCAAACAAAAAACCTAAATCCACTGCCATCAAGTCAGTTCCAACCCATAACGACCCCGTGGAAATGTTCTGGGGCTATAAATCTTTGTGAAAGCAGTCGGCCTTAACTTTCTCCTGCAGAGTAGCTGGGGGACTTACTCCATTGACCTTCCAGTTAGCAGTTCGTTCCACAAGGCAGCCCAGCTCTGTAATGAATGAACAGAACTAAGACTTCAAGCCGTCAAGTCCATTCTGACTCAGAGCAGCCCTGTATCTGTCACACACACACCTCACGCCCGCGACCATCAAGTCCATTCTGACTCAGAGCAGCCCTGT